CCTGGAAGCTTACACATTTGCCTCAGCTCTCTGACTAGCTTGCAAGGTATTTTAGCAAAAGGACGCATAAGACAGTTCCTGGTATGTTGTCCTGCACATGGCAACCCCTCAGTAAGTATTCATTAGCCTGTAGAAGGCAAGATCTTGATTGACAGATCCATAAAGGAGATGTAGGACACATACAATTCTTAAAATCAAGGGCCAGGGGACGTGCCTGGGTGGCTCAGTCGGTTAAGCGTCTGCCTTCGGCTCAGGTCATGATCCCAGGGTCCTGGGATCGAGCCCCGCCTCGGGCTCCCTGCTCAGCGGGGAGCCTGCTTCTCCCTCTGCCCACTGCTCCCCCTGCTTGTGCTCTCTCTCTGTCTCTCTAAGTGGAAGATACCTGTTTGATGGACTGACCATAACATGCCTAAACTTGCATTTTTTTTTTGGCATGGAACAAAATTTATTAATAAAAAAACTTTCTTTCATATCCAATCCAAAATGCTGACAGGAAATCATTCAAACAATTAAAATCAGGAAAGTCAGTAGGAGTGCTGATATATTTAATAGGAAAGGGACTCCTTATCTTATTCTGTATACCCAAAGTCTAGAGAGAACTCAGCATCAGGGCAATAATTCAACTATTTCCTGAATGAATGGGTTTCTGTTCATCAAGTTAGTGCATATGTCAAGTATTAGGAGCTATAGAAATTGGGAATTAAGGGGTGTTTACATAAAATGATACCATATTAAAACTTTAAAATTATGTGTGTTATATTCATGAGGCCATACATTAAAAGTTTTCATTTTAAATGACTTTTTTGTTACTAAAACAATATCCACAACTTACATTTATGATTTACATATTTTGTTAACATTGTATGTACAGAATAATATTTACTGTCCATCAAAATGGAAGTTGACAGACTGTTTGATAAGCCTTAGGTTTATAGTTTTGTGCTGAAAATAACAGTAATCCTGTCTAAGGTTTGAACTGGAAGTTTTTTCTTTAAAATTTTGCTTTTTTAAAATACGTGCTTTGTGATAAGTTATTTAGTAAAGCTTACTGTAAACTATTTAGACAGCTAACAGAATTTTTGAATGACGAGGATAATAGATTTCATTGTACAGGCTTTCCACTATTTAATTTCAGTCTAAATGTTAACTGTTGGACTAGTACATGATTATTTTCACAAAATGCACACTCATGACTGCCAATTTTTCCATGACTAATTATACCCTGCCAGATGTTTTTTAAGTTCTGCTAAGTCATATTTTCTTTTTCCAGAACTCTATGTTCCCACCCCTAAGTCCCTCTGGCCTTTTTTCATAGTTTGCTTTTTACCTGAATTTGGGGTAAAATGGATTCACTGCTCTTTTTACCATTTTTATATGAATATAATAGTTTTATGTAAATTACTCTCAAGTTCACCTATCCTAAAGCTTAGCCTATCCCCTTCCTGGGGAGATATACATTTTGTACAATTTATTCTAAAAAGTCAGGAAGCCTTTCCCTGCAAGAACAGCCTCCTCATACTACTGAAAATCTTCTGAATCACCCCGGAATCCAGGCTGTTAGAAAAATGCTAACCAGTTCCCAAACTTCCACATTTGTTTCCTGCTGTTCAGCTACCTCTCCTGCTTACATTTTCTGGCTGTAGCAAGAATCATTAATGACTACTTAGACAGATGGAGCTTGCTGTCAAGTAATAACATGCGACCCATGATGGATTTGCATTTTCTTACCAATCTGAGCATTATGGAACACTCACTGCCCAGCACTAGACAGAAAAATTTCAATGACAAATTTTGCCTTTTGAATACCAACGAAAATAGTTGGCTGCATGCACAGTTTCCAAAAAAGTGTTCATTGATTCAAATGTATTAAAAGCCTACTATGTGCTGGTAATTGTGCAAAGTCTTGAGAGATGTAAAGAAAAAAATCCAGTCCTTATTGCCTCAAGGAGCTCTAGGGGGAAGAAAGATGACAAACACACAGTTGAAATCACGTGAAGAACTGGATGAAACCAAGTCAGTGCAGTTAGTGGGGGGTACAGAGGAAGGGCTGCAACGCTGCCCAGTCATTTCCAGACTCCTCATCAACCACAGTGCAACACTGTTTATGCAAAAGCAACGTGACCTCTCCTTACATGGATCTGTGCACGCTCGCATCAAGGAATAACCAAGGAATAACCATCGGGATATTACTGCTGGAGAACGGTGTGTTCTGCAAACTGCAAGCATTTTCTACACCTACTGCAGAGCATTGTTGAGTGCTTATCGATGAGTATATGAATCAAGTAAGCCTGGGTTTATGACCCAATCTTACATCCATGTATTGGGAGTAGAAGGAAGCATAGTTGTGGAAGGAAAGTCTCTGAGGTCAGAAGACCAGATCTGCATTGTGAGGCTGGCCGTGGGCTCCTCATCCCTAGAAGGATGTCTATGAGGTCCCCTCCAGCCCTCTGATACTCTAAGATCTAATCATAAAGGGACTGGTCAGGCCAGCCTGATTATCATTATAGTTTAGGAATGTTTCACGCTTCTCAGAATTTTCAAGATACATCATGGAGGAGGAAGCTAAGCTCAAGTTCACTGGAGGAAGTTAAAAAAAAAAAAACAAACGTAAGAGTAGGGAATAATTTTAACAATCAATTTGTTTCTGTGCAATAAATATCAACAGTAAAACTTTAGGAATGTACTTTTAACAGTGCTAAGGATCAGTGATCTAGAAATCGTCTGGCCACAGTCTGATCGTCAGTGATATCACAGAGATATCATTTACTATAGCCAGTCTGCTTCCTCTCTTTCTTGAAAGTAGTAATAATTTTTTAGCATTTTTCAAACTCTGAAGAATGTAATTATTTTTTTAAAGATTTATTTACTTATTTGACCGAGAGAGAGAGCACAAGCAGGGGGAGCGGCAGGCAGAGGGAGAGGGAGAAGCAGCCTCCCCACTGAGCAGGGAGCCCGATGTGGGGCTCAATCCCAGGACCCTGGGATCACGACCTGATCCAAAGGCAGACACTTAACCGACTGAGCCACCCAGACGCCCCTAAAGAATGTAATTCTATATTTACTCAAAAGCCTCCATAGCAACCCAACCAATTCCTCTCTTCCCTATCTGATCATTTCAGTGAATATGCAAAAAAAGTATTTATCTAATTTATCAACCTTTACAGCACTTTTTGTGTCACCATCTAACGTTAAACATGTTTTTCTTGCCAAATTGCTGATCCTGACATCACTTAAAGCCCTTTACGATTTCAGGACAGTCAGTGGCTCCAAATGGAGCCAATTACTGTGTAGACAAAGCAACAATTCCCTGGATCTTGGAAAGCAAGTGTAACATTTTCTTCTAGGTACCTTCAACTCCAGTGCAAAGAATCACCTCCCAGGCTGGCTAAAGATCTGTTAGGGAAAATGACTCAGGCTCGGAGACTACAAAAAGGAGGCTTGCATGGTCTCATTTTGCAAATATAAATTCTGTGGGTTTTAGAGCTGGAAGAGAGCTCAAAGAGGAAACCAGCAAGTGCAGATTTCAGCTTCCAGGAAAGATGGACAAGAGCTAAACCTGGATGTGCTATTTCAGTTCAGACGCAGGGAGAAAAAAAATTTTGCATGGTTTTATTTCCTTCAAAATGAGTGTATTGCTATGGCTTATTCCGTAATGTTATATGGAAATGTGTCTGCAGTATGTACTAAAAGGAAAGGCTGACTTCCCTAGAAAAAAAAGTAGGAGACTCTGCTCTCTCCCTAAAACCCGTCCAGTCTGTCTTGGAGGCAACTACAGAGGAATAAAAACGGAATGATGGCAGGTACTTTGACAAGACCTTGTTCAATGCCACTTAGAATAAGAATTAACATTCTCTTGCCTGACAATTTTACAGGAAAGCCCAGAAGAGGAAGCCAGAAATAGATTCAAAAAGCCCAATGCTTAAGACCGGCACTAAATAAATAAATAAATAAATAAAAGTCTGATGATATTTTTTAATTTCATTTTTGGTTTCTCTACACTTGGGCGGAACTAACTCAGTTCCACGAATGTCTTCTTCAGCGTGAGAACAATCCTTTCTGGAACCACAGGGCTGCAGATGTCATGCTGGAATTCTCCCAAGGGCAAACCGCCGGACTAGGGGAGCTCTTCCTCAGTCACTACCCCGAGCTGGGCTGGGCTGAGCCTGGGCTAACTGACCTCCGGACCTGTGGGCAGACACCTGCATTTGCACCACCTTTACAGGATGCAACCCTCGCTAAAGGCCCAGTCAGGTGGGAAGGCCAGGTACCATTGCCTTCGCGGCCGAACGGCGGGTGAGCCCCGCTCACCGTCAGCCGCTACTTGGCCGCGGATTCCGAGGCTCGGGCCCCTCACCCCCAACCCCGGTGCCCGGAGCACTGGAGCAATGCTCTCGGCGGCCCCAGCCAGCCCGGAACCGCTCCGGGCCGTTCAACTTGTAAGTGCTGCCGTTCCCGGCCGGGACAGCACCGTAACCAAATGGTACGGGAGAATCCTTGCCTCCACCTCGAGAACTCCTTCCAAAGCGTCCCCGCTTTCTTCCCCAAGACCTGCCCAATCAGGCCGGACGTCGGGGTCACCGGCCTGGGTGGCCCTGGGGTCAGGGGGCCGGGAGGCCGGGGTACCCGGTTCCCCGCCGCACCTGGAGCCGCCGGGGCCAAAGGGAAGCGTCGCGCTCGGCGGCGCGGTTGAATCACGGTGAATCACCCCTCGGAGTTTCCTCCCCGGAGGAGGCGGGACAGGGGAGGGAACTGGCCGGGGGCCGCCTACCGCGACCGCCAGTGACCGGGCCGGGGGCGGGAGTGGGGAGGAGCGGCGGGGGCGGGCCGTTGGCCGGCGGAGGCGCGGGCGGCCACACCGCTCTTTAAAGCGCGCCCCGGGGCGGACTGCCCCAGACTCGGGGTTCCCCGCACGCCTTCCCGCTCTCGCACGCTGCCCATCGGCGCCTCCAGCGCTTCGGGGCGCAACGGAATCCTCCCGACCTCGCCGCCAGCTCGTGGACATGGAGACCCCCACCTGGCCCCGGGTGCCCTGCCCCGAGGCCGCCGTCGCTCGGATGCTCCTGCTCGGCTGGGTCCTCCTGCAGGTGGCCGGAGCCTCAGGTGAGTGGCACCCGCCCCCGAAACCCAGCGGCACGCGGTCGGGAGAAGGGGGCTCGCCCTGCTGCCGGGAGGTGCCCCCGCACCCGCCTGATGCGGCCGCTCTCACGCAGCGGAGTCCGAACCAACCCGGCTCCCGAGGCGTGCAGGCGGGGGATGGAAGGTAGTAGTCCGCGGCCCCTTCTGCTGGAGAAGCTTAGTCCGGAGTCCGTCGGTATGGCATACAGGGATTTGTGGCTCCCGCTTTGAGTTTAGGGCAAGTGTTTCCCAGTAATCCTCAACCTTGAAGGTGGTGGACACGGATCCGCACCTGTCCTGGTCAGCGTGCCGTGTTTGGATATTATCCTTCATTGCATGTCCACTTTCCTTGATAAAGAGAGGCCCTTGTGGTCTTTTCTTGGACGTCTTTGTTTTAGATTTAGAGGCAATCCTGTTGCAAAAAGTCGCTTGGATTGGAGCAGACACATTGTGCATGCCCCACATGCTTAAAACGTGTGTGGGGCAGGCAGAGACTGTGACCCGCTGAATACTGGCAAAGCGGACCTTAATAATAACGCATCCAAACGGAACACATCCGACGGTGTGACAGGCCACACCTCTGCCTAGCCGTCCGGAGGTTTCTATATAGAGACATGTTAGATAAAAATGGGAAAAGTCAAGGTTTGGCTTTCTTATGGTGTGCAGCCCTAACCTCTCATACGCGTGGGATCTGCCCCTTTCCATAACTTACCCCAAACCCTTCTTACCTGGCCTTGCCTGGTGAGTTGAACCTCTGAGTCCTACACTTCCTGGCCTGGGCCTTAGACATCGCAGGAGGCTGAAGGCTCCTGAGCTGTGTTTCCAGGTCAAGTTATCTCAGGGCTTCCCACCATCCCCCTCCCCCACCGTGAATAATTTCAAACAATCATTTTGAGATCCTTGCCTCTTTTCTTAGATTACAAGGTCGGTCTTGCCATGAGGAAATTCAGAGACCTTAATTAAGAAAATTAAAAACTTGAAAATTTTTTTTGTCTTGATCATTCAGTAATGAAGCTTTTGTGGTTCGAAAAAAATTAATACGAGGTTAATGGTGATGTTGGGGGGATGGGAAGATGTTTTATACCATCAAGGTCAAATCGTGTGCTGAGCCCATGTAATAATAGCTGTTTCTCTGTTGTTTAAAGGGACTACAGAGGTAGTAGTAGCATATAACTTAACTTGGAAATCAACTAATTTCAAGACAATTTTGGAGTGGGAACCCAAACCCATCAATCATGTCTACACTGTTCAGATAAGGTAAGCTAGGTACAAAAGAAAAAGAGAAAGAAAATTAAAGTTTTTAATGTTTCCATTTCCCTGTGCTGAATACAAATGTCTTTAAAGCTGGCGAATGGATGAGAGTATTTAACAGATGACAAAGGGCATTCCTGGTCATTTGCAGGCCAGAGAGCCTTACTCCATGAAGCCTGCAACATGGCCACAGCTTCAAATGATAGAATGTTTCACTTGTTTTTGGACACAGATGGGACAATTCCTAAGTGGAGTCTAAGCTGGGGGTAGGCGAACCTTCTTGAGCCAGCTATGGCAGCATGGGAAGATGTTGTCCTGGATGGAGGCTAATCTCATCTAAGCACGCACGTCTTTTTCCTCGCTGTCTAGACTGGGAGCCGGATCTAACATGTTGTAGAGGAAGCGGGGAGGAGTCCAAATGTATACATTGCCCTAAAGCAGTGTTTGATTCACTCGTCTTTGGACACTGATTCAAAATTCGGTTGCATGCATGATCTCGGAGGAGGTCAAATTTGTGACTCACGAAAGCCCGGAAGAAATACTCCTCTGTCTGTACACCGGGTTGAGGGCTGAGCTGCTCAGGCACCCTCCTCTCTGACCGACAGATCCCTCCAAGAGCTGGTAGGTCGGCATTTTCAATCTGAGGGTCAGACGCCTGCCGCCTATCTTCCTAGATGGTTTTCACCATATTCTTGGTGACTTTTTGGTTTCTGAAATGTTCTAGGAGGCTTGCTAGAGATCTTATTAAACAGAGGAGAGCTAATTGAATAAAGGCACAATAGAATCACTGGCTAAAAATTCAAGGTGTTTTGCTCATTTGTTTTAGCTTGTGTCAAGCCTTTTATATGGTATTAGGAACACAGCTCCTAAGGACGGAGTGGGCCTGTGAGGTGGATGTTCTTGTTTTTCAAAATGAACTTCACGACGACTCTTGGTAAACAGGGAAGAGAACTAGTGTGTGTACATGCTGTGCATATAGTTATATAGAGAGAGCGACAGGAGTTTCAGAACCCCAGGTAATAATTTTGGTTATGATCCAACTTGTCCATTCAGCTTCCACTAGTTGAGAATTAGTAATTAATTCCTCTGATACAGAACTGAAGTTTACCTTAGTAAACCATCTTCATTCTGGATAATGAAAATAGGATTTCAGGAGGAATGCTTACTCCTAAATATATTCGATCTTATGTTTGGTGAATATGCGGAAACGTTTACGACCAACCTGATTTTTAAACATAAGCCTTGGTGAGCTCTAAGTTCTCGGACTTTCCGAGGCTGCTTCTATTTCAGTAACACATTCTAGCAGAGCTGTGGCTTGTGGGTGCCTGCAGCTGGGGGTGAGGGGTTCCTGCCAAGAGAGTGACCTCCCCACACTCTTGCCCTGCGCTAGAGGACGTGTGGGCAGCCCTCCAGCCCCGCGCTCTTCTTCAGTCTCCCCATGGGTAAATACGATTCCTGGGTGACAAGGACCATGGCAGTCCTATTAGAGAAGAGGAAACTTGCCCAGGGAAGGTAAGGGATTTATTCGTTCGTGACTGCCCTGATAGTGAGTGCCCAGCCAGGTCTGGAACCAGGGTCTCCCCAGTACCTCATACCACCACCTGCTTACGTGGGTCTGCCCCAGTCTGATATGAGGCCCCAAAGCTTGTTGGGAGGAGGAAGGAAGGCCATCCCCTCTGTGGGCCTTCTTCCTTCCTGGCTTTCCATCCCTAGAGAAAGGATTTTAACCTGCTGCTCTTCTTCACCCACCCACCCTCGCTACCAGCCTGTCCCCACTCCCAGGGTGCCACTGCTGTGCCTGGAGCCCCTACCTGGAGCTCCAACTGCATTTGCCTGCCGTGGGAAGTTTTCAGTGGTTGTTGGGAAGTGCTGTTGGCTCAAGCCTTAGTGCCCAGCCAACACCTATAATACTGATTCTATGGAAATATTCCGAATTCTAACACTAAGCTTCCAAAGCTTCTAGAAAACAGCCTGCTTCTAAATTAGTGAATCTGGCTTCTGTTGGAATTTCTTAGTAATTCAAGCGGGATATTTATTATTTCCAAACCGGGAGGTTTTGCAATACCTAGAGGAAGCTTGAAGCCTTTTAAAGTGTTACTGCTGACAATAGCATTTAGAGGAACTTAGTACAGAACCCCTTCATTACCTTTTCACTAGACTTTACTACTTTCGGGGATCTAGGCGCTTGTGCTAAATTCCGCCAGAGAGTACTGTGATTTCTATATGTGAGCTGGGAGGAATCGAATACCGGCTTTCTCCTGTTAATCTGAACAACGTGTGTGCCATAGCAATGGAGAAGAATCGTCATTTCTCACTCACTTTTTAGAATAGAAGTGATACAATTATTTAAAAAATGCATTTTGGTCATTCTGGAATTAAGACTGACTACCTTTATCACAGAAAATTAGAGAAATTTAAGAAACTAAATTATTTCGGTATCAATCTCAGTTTATGAATTTTAGGACAAAGCGTATGTTTGCCCATGCCCTCTTAGCCCGGATGTTCAGATTTTTTAAAAAATATGTACTTATGGCTCTTAATCGTGAACTGAGACCGTTGAATTCATATGGCAGCTTGTTTTCCCCCTGATTCAACCCGCAAGTGCAAACAACCTAACACTCCGCAAGGCCTGGCTACTTGAGCCCTCCGTTTAGCCCCGCTGCTTAAGGGTGGGTGGGCCACAAGGGCATGGACCCTGGTACCAAGTCCACAGGAAGTGTTTCAGTGGAGATGTCGATGCTGGAGTACAGAGAAGGAAGGGGCCAATTCTGAGAAAGCAGCTCTGGAGATTCCTGGAAAAAGCGGGATTGGAGGATGGCCTTGAATGATGGGCAAGGCCCTGGGGCGGTCTGTGATGCTGAAGGAAAGAGCAGTGTGGCTATCAATTCATGTGGGACAGAAGTGTGTGGGTCCAGTGGCAGGGGCATTCATCTACAAATGTTTTAGTCCTTTAGAAGAATTTCAGGTTTAGCAGTTCCTTAAATTATTTCCTCTTCAGTGATGTCTTGCAAAAGAAAGGTCTGTCTCAGCCTCTTGGTCTCTCAGACTGCCAGACAGGTCCTGCCTGTATTGTAATGTGTATGTCAATATGTATTGTAATGTGATAGTCTTTGGTGGGCTGTATTCACATCCTGTAGAAGTGAGGGAGGCATGTCATATAATGGGACGGGCAGACTCAGCTCTCACCTCATTGGCTATGTGACCTTGTACAAGGTACTTAGTGGCTCTGAGCTTGTGTCCTTCTATGTAAAAAAGATCCAATACCTGCTCAGAAGGATTATATCAAATGAAGTAACCTGTGTAAAGGGCCCCATACAGTACCTGGCGTATGGTAGCTTCAGTGATAAACAACCACAACAGTAATGGTCACAATCAAATGTAATATATAGAATATATGGTTATATAGATTCTATTATTGCTACATTGGCTATATTCCACATAGAATGTAGAATGTGATAAAATAGGTGTGTCATAGGAACTCCTGGGCGGCTCAGTCAGTGGAGTGTCTGACTCTTGATTTCAGCACACATCATGATCTCAGGGTCATGAGATCGAGCCCCGCATCAAGCTCTATGCTCCATGTGGAGTCTACTTGGGATTTGCTCCCTCTCCCTTTGCCCCTCCCCCTACTCATGCTCTCTCCCTCTAAAAGAAATAAAATCCTTTTTTTTTTAAAAGATTTTTCTTTATTTATTTGACAGAGAGAGAGACACAGCGAGAGAGGGAACACAAGCAGGGGGAGTGGGAGAGGGAGAAGCAGGCTTCCCACCGAGCAGAGGGCTCGATCCCAGGACCCTGGGGTCATGACCTGAGCCGAAGGCAGACGCCCAACGACTGAGCCACCCAGGTGCCCCTAAAAGAAATAAAATCTTAAATAAGTGTGTTATAGAATGATACAATAAGTAGACTATAACAAATAATTGGGTCTTGATGGGAAACTCTTCTCTCTCCCATGTGACCATAACGAATTATCTACATTTTAAGAAGGACTGGGTGGCTCAGTCAGTCAAGCATCTGCCTTCGGCTTAGGTCACGGTCTTGGGGTCCCCAGTTGGGCTCCCTGCTCGGTGGGGAGTCTGCTTCTCCCTCTGCTTCTCCCCCTCCCCTTCCCTCCCCACCTCATTCTCTGTCTCTCTCTCAAATAAAAGAAATAAAAAAAAAAAAAAAAAAAAGATTTAACAAATGATTAAGAGCACAGACCCAGCAGGCAAACTGCTGTGGGACTTTGAGCTGGTCACCCTTCTCACCTCGCCTCTGTAGCCTTATCTGTGAGAAGTGAGTCATTACAGAGCCATCCCCAGGTTGCCACGAGGACTTTGCTATGCTGAGCCGCTGCCTGCTCCCACCACGTGTGGGTGCCGTTGGTGTAACACAGTACCCCGGCTAGAAAGCACGCTGCCACCGATGCAGATCCTAATGTTTCATCCCTCTTCCTTCCTCTTCCTTCCTTTAGCCCTAGACTTGGAAATTGGAAGAGCAAATGCTTCTACACCACAGACACAGAGTGTGACCTCACCGATGAGATTGTGAATGACGTGAATCAGACCTACGAGGCGCGGGTCTTGTCCTACCCAGCTGATGCCACCGATTACTCTGGGGAGCCTCCATTTACAAACTCCCCAGCGTTCACACCTTACATGGAGAGTAAGTACTCTCTGTAATAACCTTTCAGTCTTGGCCTGAATATTTTTGTGAGCTTGTGACTCTTAGGGGCTGTTACATAAAGACTGTGCATCCATACACAGATCCTCTTTCTCAGAACCTGGTAAGTGCCACGGCCCTCTTGGCTCATTCCTGGTGTGTATTCACAGGTTCACAGAATGTAAACTCCGCAGTTGCTAACAGTGCCATCACGTAACTTTCTCCACCGGTCTGTCCCCAGGCCCTCGCAGCAACTGGCTGGATGGAGGGGCTGGCAGGGAGGGGGGGTGGAATCCACCAAAGCTGGAGCTTCAGCATTTCCCCCAGATTTATTTAGGAGGTTATATATGACAGATGCACATAAGTCTCCTGAATATTCTCTTCCATTGTGAGACCAGAAGTCCCAGGTTAGGGTTTTCACAAATAGTCACAAATCCGTGGGGGTAGGTCCAGTTTCCCTCTGAGTCCACAATCAGGCTTGCTGACCTTTTTAAACAGCTCGACCACGATCGGAGTCCCGTGATGTGCTGGCTCTTGCCTGGCCCGCTCCCAGCCTGCCTCCTTCATGCCGGCTTGGAAAATGAGGAATGCTTCCCTCCCCAGCTTTTGCCCCAGTAAGCTGACCCTAGCACCTAAAAAGGGAATGTAGAGGATTCCGGCCAAGTAGGAGATGTAAATTTTTTTTTTTCCTTTAGTCAGGACTATAGTTCTGACCTAGGTATTTTTAATAAACGAATGAAGCACATTGAAGTGAGTGAAATCAGCTGCTCTTTCAAGAAGGATTAGAACGAAAGGTTAGAATGAAAGGGTTATGTTTTTTATCCAGTGCTTTTGTACTGATGCTCTGAGCGCCCAGTGAGGGAGAATGCTCTCTGCTAGCAGGGATGGTGAGAGGCTGAGGGGCAGTCCACCACATTTCCCCTCCACTGCCTACATCGAGGATGGAAATAGGAAGCAACCTAACCCCTGAGTGAGTCTGTCTGCCTTCCCTGAGCCCCCATTTGCCAGAGCCTGTCTTCAGACTCCTGTGTGGCCCTCACGTGTGCGTCTCTCATAGGTGCTCAGCCACAGCCACCCCTCAGGGACCGTGCGGGGCCTGTGTTACTCATTGCCCCTTTGCTCAGATCCTTATGATTTCCTTTTATAGTTCTTGAGTTTTTTGTAAGACACTTCAAATCCTTTCTTGGTGTAAGATAGAAAATATTTTATAGGGGTGCCTGGGTGGCTCAGTCATTAATTAATTCATTCTTTACCTGTATACTAAAAACGCTGTTGTATTGTTTTTTTTATAATAAGGCTTTTTACCTCTGTGTAAAAAATATATATACAAGTGTATGATGTACATTTTAGTTCTTAACCTTTTTTTATCGTTTCTAATATGTATGACCAATGTAGCCATTGCTTTAAAACGTACCATGTAAATATAAACACATCCTATCAGAAAAAAAAAGCCTTCGGCTCAGGTCACGATCCTGGGGTCCTGGGATCGAGCCCTGAGCAGGGAGCCTGCTTCTCCCTCTGCCACTCTCCCTGCTTGTGCACATGCTCTGTGTGTGTGTGCGTGCGCGTGTGTCAAATAAATAAATAAATAAAATCTTTAAAGAAGAAGAAATATTTTACATATTAATTTTGTACGTGCTCACACACACACGCACTCACACACACCCACTTGTGTGAAATTTATGTTCAATTACAGGGATTTATTCAAAGCCACACAGCCTAAGCATAGCAGGCAGCTGAGCCATTGCACAGACCCAGTGGTTAACACTGGTTCCCTGAGGTACCAAGGACATATCCTGGTGTTTCCCACAACCCCTAATTTATTGTCTCTAAAATACGGAGTCTCACACAACTGTATCGTTTAATATAACAGCCACTAGCCGCAGATGGCTATGGAGCACTTGAAATATAGCTAATGCTATAAGTCTAAAAGACATCCTGGCTTTTGAAAAATATCTCCAAAATTTTTTATATCGATTACAAGTTAAATGAAAATATTTGAGCTATTGGGGGCTAAACAAAATGTATTAGTAAAAGTAATTTCAGCTGTTCCTTTTTACATTTTCTGATGTGACGACAAGGAAATTTGAAATGACATCTGTGGCTCCATTATATTTGCCCTGAGACGGCACTGCCCTGGGAAGTCTCAGTTCTATTCTGGAGCCGCTTAGCCCCCGGCTGCCGGGGAGCCCATTCTGTGCAGCTCTTACACGAGGGATGACTGGACTGTCCTTACCTGGGATAACTAAATGGAATTCCACTTGAGATAGGATTCTTTGGTTCCAACAGAGCTCATTTTCTATGTTTTAGCAAAGCTTGGACTGCCAACAATCCAGAGTTTCAAACAAGTTGGGACAAAACTGAATGTGACCATACAAGATGCACGCACCTTAGTCAGGAGGAACGGCACCTTCCTAAGCCTCCGGGATGTTTTTGGCAAGAACTTAAGTTACACACTTTATTACTGGAAAGCGTCAAGTACAGGAAAGGTGAGGATTCTTTCGTTTGTTTTTAATGACTTGTTTTAAGTTGTGGCTCCTTGACTTTACAGCCCACTTCTTCCCTCAGTTCAAATGTGCCAGAATCGGGTGGTTGAGAGAGCAGCGTGGCGGAGGGGGAGGGGGCCTGCCGTCCCGGTTCTACCTGGGACTCCGGGTGGGGCCGCTGGATCCGCAGGCTCCTCGGCCAAGGACTGGACCGGGTCATCTCTAAGGCTCCCACCAGCTCTCCCGTTTCTTCCTCTCTGGAGGGTCCCAGAGACAAAATCAGTTTTCCATTCAATGATGAATGCTTCATTCCTTTTTTCCTTGATGGCAGATATCTTCTAGAGGAGCTAAATTGGGTTGGATGTGCCTAAATTGGTCATTTTTGGTCTTGCAAGGAGCATCCTTAGCAGTTACCAAGGGGAACAGAGCAGCTAAGTCACTTCTAATCCTTTCTACGTCAGGTCCCTGCAGGCTTTTACTTCCACAGTGACTTAGTAACAGGGAAAGAATTCACTCTGAGCCTAGATGAATTCAGAACTCTTCATCTCTTAACAGAAAACAGCCAAGACAAACACTAATGAGTTTTTGATTGATGTGGATGAGGGAGAAAGCTACTGTTTCAGTGTTCAAGCAGTGATTCCATCACGGAAGTCTAACCAGAAGAGTCCAGAAAGTTCCACTGAGTGCACGCACCACAAGAAAGGTATGTTCAGAGATGAGTGGTTCCGCCCAGCATTCACCTGGGAGGCACGGATACCTTCCAGAGGAGTGGCTCCACCCTCAGAACCAGGATGGACTTTTGTTCAGGGGGAAACAGCCTTCTTGTTGTTGTTTGTTTGTGTTGGGTTGTTTGGGGGATACTCTTAACAATTTTAGGCATTTGAAAATGCTTCTGTGTTGTTCCCTTGTATTAGCTTGTGTTTTCTTGAGCCCCTACCATGTGCCAAGCTCTCCGCTGAGCACTGGACACACGGTGCATGTTTAGGATTTACCATCAAATCACAGATTTCTCTGGAGATTTTTTCATACTTAAATTCTGATGCTGGGAATTATGGGGGAGTGTCTGGACCAGCTGCAGCAGCACCCACTAGACATTTGTGAGCACCTGCTATAGGTTGTTTCGTTGTCACAGAGGACTAAAAGTCTAACCCGTGAAGGGAAGAGACTGAGTCTATCAGATAGTCCCTCATGCAGGTATGTGCACACCAGGGGCCCAGACCCTCCTGTGAGGAGTGATTCTTAACTGGAAGTGTTGCAGGGGCTTCAGACTCATCCAATGAAGCTGCAGGCCTGAGTCTCCCTCCAGGCTTTATAGGGAAAGGACTCTGAGGACATTCAGGGAACAAGAGAGTCACAGGATAGCTCCTTGCTAAGGCAAGATGTGAAAATTTAGAAACACTTTTAAGCAAATTCTCTCCTATTGATTGACCATGATGGAAGCAGGGAAGAAAAGGGCTCTCCCTCCCTCGGGTCCTGCACCCCTCTGTGCCATCAGACCCCCAGTCCTCACATCCATCTTCCTTAAGCCAGCTGGAGTTCCACTGCCTCTCTGTTCATACACGCCCAGATCGCTGCTTCCCTGCCTCTTCTCCCTCTACTGAAATGTGACCTTTGAGAACCATTTCAAATGCTACCTCCACCGGGAAGCCTTCCTGCTGCTCCAACCAGTTATCATCTGTCCTTCACCTGAACCCTGCCATTACTCTGTGTCTCACTCTTTGCACTGATTGTTCGTCTTCTACAATTATAATCCTGGCCACCAAGCCCAGCATTATTTTTAGCCCCTACTCCCACTTACATGTACTGTTTCCAGGCTGTGGACATTATCCAGTTTATTAAACAGCCCATTAAATGATGTCCACCACCGTCAACTGCCCTAAAACATCGAGGGTTTGACCCATTCTTTCCTAATCAAAATACGTTGTGGTGGAAAGAGTAGAGGAAAGAAATTTCAAATGACGCAAGAGCGTCACTTGGCGTCATTTGGGGTTATGGCCTCCGTTCTGCCCCCTGATAAATGGGATTCAAGTGCTCGAAGTTGAAGCTGACTGGTACCTTTTGTTTTTCAGAAATGCTCCTCGGCATTGTAATTGTGGTGCTTGTGGCCGTCATCCTCACCAGCATCCTGTCTGTGACCCTATACAAGTGTAGGAAGGTGCGCGCGCAGCAGAGCGGGAAGGAGAGCTCCCCACTCAATGCTGCATAAAGCTCGTGCCCTGGGAGCAGCCGCCCACGATGGATTATATGTTGCACTGTGACCAAGGACTTTTAAGACAACAGAATATATATATGGAAACACAAAGGACTATTTTGGAGCATGGAGACTCTTGGGCTCAAAGAAAGCTCTTGATCTGACCTGTTCTCACAATTAGCATTCTGGTTTCCACGACAGCATCAGACACTTTGGAATGTAATGAACGGTACAACCAATTCCAAGTTTTTTAAATTTCTATTTTAATACTGTGGCACCTTTTGCACATATCATGTGTTAGAATGTATATTCTACACCCCAAATGAAACCAGAACGTCTAATCAAAAACAAATGAACAAGAGCCTTTAAAAAAAATCCTTGGGTCGATTTTTGGAAAACTTTTGAGAAGCTGACTTCAAATCATGTGGGAGAGTAAAATGGAAATTGTGTGGACTTTTCTGACATAGAACATTCTTTTGTGATATATGGTGTTTAGGTTCTTTTTTGAGTTCTTTTGGAGTTTTACAACAATTGGCAAACTTTTATATGAATGTGTTAAATGCAGAAGACTTCTGTTTTGGGGCACATTCCTAAAGTGCCTTAAGGTTTAGCACTTTAACTGACTCAAATGCTATGGATTAAGCACTTGATAGCTGACTATATTTTTATAAGACTACTATAAAGACCACGTAGAGGTGATGATTTAAGGTACTGCAAGCTTTTGTGGTCAATATTGTATATATTTATATAATTTTCTAAAAGGTTTTATACATGGGGATATTTTATTTATAGAAGTAATATTGTTCTGTTTGTATATATTGAGATAATTTATTTAATATACTTTTATATAAATAAAGGTGACTGGGAATTGTGACTATTGTATTTATTATATCTTCCATTTTATTATTTATGATTTGGTCTTTGTATTAGGTGGCTCTGCTGCAGGAACAAATGACCCAAAAATTCTCAGTGGCTCACAACATTATCTTGAATTCTCACTTACATTAGTTTGGTGGCTGCGAGTTGACTGCTGCTCTTCCTAATTATGTTCTCATTCTAGCACCCGAACCCAAGGGGAAGACTCTATTTGAGTCAGGGCAGAGGGAAAAGCAACAACCTAGTAGCCCCTCCATGTCTTGGAGGGGCGCCTGGGTGGCTCAGTCGTTGAACGTCTGCCTTCGGCTCAGGTCATGATCTCAGGGTCCTGGGATCGAGCCCTGCATCGGGCTCCCTGCTGGGCAGGAAGCCTGCTTCTCCCTCTCCCACTCCCCCTGCTTGTGTTCCTGCTCTCGCTGTCTCTCTCTCTCTCTGTCAAATAAATAAATAAAATCTTAAAAAAAAAAAAAGAAGCCATGTCTTGGAGCTTTGAGCCACCTCTTAGAACTTCTGCTCACCTGTCACTGCCGCAGGCAGAGTACCTGACTACATCAGACAGTACTCTGCCTACTGGGGCGGGGCACCACCAGTCACACAGCAATGGCAGGTTTACATGGTGTCCCGGGAAGAGAGAAAATTAGACAGCCAACTGCAGATTTAGAGGGGGTGACTTCTTCCCATGTGCATTAGTTTGAGTTGCAGATGAAGGCTGGAGAGGAGAAAGGAAAACTTCTTTGGACTATCGTCTTGAAAGAAAATTGGATGAAAGGGGAATATAAGATAGGCAGAGAGAGAAGTGGAGTCTCTAGGGTTCATTAAAAGCAAGCTAAACTGAGAGCTCTTTGTGGGTAGGACTGGGTCTGGCTCGTGTTCACGGCCCCTTGATGGCAGCAGTGACAGTAGGCTCTTAGTCATGGCTGAGTCCAACTGACTGCATTACCTCCCTCTAGAGTATAGAAATAGGGAGTCCACCATTCAAACACAAAGAAAACACGGCAACAGTCTTGATCTCACAAGAGCATTGAAAGAGGATTCTAACTAGAGATGGAGGTGAGGCTCCCGGCACCCAGCAGGGCCACAGCCATGTTTGCTCCGCACCAGGAAAGGCTGGGCCCTGCAGGCTAGGAAGCACACCCAGATGGCACACCCACCTGGAAGGGGCCCCCCCACAGACGCCCGGATCAAGCATTAAAATAAGGGAAGAGGCAGTTCACTGTCCCGCTGTTCATCCATTTCGAGCCCCTCTGTTCATCCATTTCAAGCCCCTCTGTTCCTCTGCTCCAAAGAACTCCAAGCATTATCAATAAAACTCTAAACATGACATGTTTGATATAGCATCACATTCTTTGGAAGGATGGGAAAAACAAACCTTCGCTGTCCCCCGAAAAATGGTAGCCTGAAAGGAGAAAAGTGGTGGAAACTTCGAAGAACTAAAGGAAAACAGACTGACGGTGTATTGGGTTCGTTTTGTTGGTTTGCTTGTCACAAACCATCGGTATCAGTACCGGAGAGGCAGTGTTTTCCCTGTGCCGGAGAAAGGAAGCGTGCCTTTACCGCGGAGTCAACCAAGAGAGCTTGGCATGGCGGCGTGCCCTGCCCTAAGTGTGCTTTGGCCATTACCTTGAATTACTTTGAATTCCTGCTCCGCAGGACAAAGGGCTTAGCGCCCCACATGGGGGAATGGTGGGGGGTGGGGGAGAACAAGTCCCAGAGAGGGCATCTGAGTGCGTGTTTCCATCAGGCTGTTCTTTCCCTGCCAGGACTAATTATGGCATTATGTGATTCCAGGGCCTCATATCTAAAGGAATTTGAATGGACGCACTGAAGAAAGCACTGGTGGAGCGAAAGCCGGTCTGGGTAGTAACGAAGCGTCTGGCTGTTCATAGGGAAGGAATTCATTCCAGATCCTAGTGAGGCCACACTGCAACGATCGGGAGGCTTCACGACTGCACTTTAACCACCCCTCAGGTTTCTCCTCGTGTCCTTATCGCTGAGATGGACCAGCTGCTGCTAGAATCAACACTGTCGGTAGCCCTGGGAGCAGAAAAGCCTCCTACTAATTGTTGACTTGTATCCAGAAACTGCTGCCTTCCAGCGGGCCAAATTATACTTCATTACTTCTCCTGGCCCTTGACCTATCATAAAGCTAATTTTTAGTAAACAAACTTTCGGGCCTTGAAAACAGATCTTTACGATCTTAAATTATTGATGAAGTTTGACTTACATATAAGAAATTAATACTTGTGAAATCCAAAGACATTTTATTTACCCTAGTTACAGCTGATGGCTTATATAATCAAAGCACCCATCTCTTAAATAAACAATGGAACAATTATCCCTGACGGTGAAGTAGGAAAGAAACTCATTCCCAAATGCAATTCTTACCCGTTCTAGGACATGTGTATTTGGCAGGTGTTATTTCTTCTCCAACAGTTGCCTGACCTTCGTTACTTTTGCCATGGGACTTTCATTCAGAGGCTTACAGCGACACCTGTTTCCCTTCCCATAGCCTCTGCTTTTCCCCCCCGGGGATCTAGGTGATTCTGGCTTTGCCATTCAGTACATTCCTTCCTTGTCCCTGTAGACATTGGTTTAGGCACAGGACCTAACCTTGTCTAGGAAAGGTGACTCTCAGGACTTTTCCTGGGAATGTGGAGACGCTATTTCTTGAGGAATATAATGAAGAAAACTTGGCCCCAGGAGCCGCTAGCAGTTATCTTGAGACCACAAAGGGAGCCAGCCTCAACTGGAGATAACACACTGCAGAGCAGTGCAGGGTGAGGAAAAGAAACTAAATCGCTGAGCTACTGGATCAAACCTTGCCTGAAGTTCTCCTACCCAAGGACTTTTCACAGGATATAAGCCACTTAATTATCAAAGTAAGTTTTGGCTCAGGTTTTCTTGACTTTTTTGACTTGCAGTCAAAAGCACCCAAACTGATTCTGTGGAAGCACTGAGCATGGAATATAAACAGAGAGGAAGAAGGGCCCCCAATGTGAGCTTATGGTAGAAAACATTTATACAATAAACATTCATGTTCATGCCTTTTCAGCTACTAAATGATTTTGCCCTGAAATAATCCCTCCTTGCCAGCACTATTAAGCTCTCCTTTTCTATTCAATTATTCCTATCAGAACACAAACATACTGTATTATTTCCTATCTTAAAAAAAATAATCTTTTGACCTCATAGAAGTTCTCATCTGGATTTCCTCCTCACTTCCTGCTCCTTGGACACCATTCTTAACTTGTAAATATTGGATCACCTTAGTGCTCCAACCTATTGTCTATCAATAATCACTCTGTGAAATATAGCCAAGCCCATGGCTCTATCATCTTGTTCTATTATCTTGCTCTGTCATGCTGTATGCCCATATCATCTGTATGTGGATGACTCCCAATGTGTATCTTAGCCCCCAGCCTCTTTCTGACACTCCAGAGTTGCCCTGCAGACCCAACTAATTACACAGCATCTCTACCTGGATGTCTAATTGGCATCTCAATCCTAATATGGCCAAAGAGAATCTGTAATTTCCCCAAACCCCAAAACCTGTTTCTCCCCCAGTCTTTCCCATTTCAAGACATGGCACCACCACTGGCTCAGGCCAAAACCCTTGGTGTCATCACTGACTTCTCTTTCTTCTCCCATTCAATGACTTGGCCAAGGGGTCAGCTCTACCTTTAAAATACCCCAGTTCCAGGGACACCTGGGTGGCTCAGTGGGTTAAGCATCCAGCTCAGGTCATGATCTCAGGGGGTTGGGATGGAGCCCTGCCTGGGGGCTCCGTGCTTAGCGGGGGATCTGCTTGTCCCTCTCCCTCTGCTCCTCACCCCCTCATCCCCAGCTCATGATAGCTCTCACTCTCTCTCTGGAATAAATAAATAATTTTTTTAAATACCCCAGTTCCAAAAGTTAACTCCTCCTCAGCTGTCCCACTAACTCCAGCCATTCTCTTCTCCTACTGGATTATTTCAACAGCCTCCTAGCTGGTGGCCACCCTATTTCCACGTTGGGGCTCTATATTCCATTTTCCTCACAGCAATCATAGCTATTCTCTTAAAAATATCAATTATGTTTTTAGGGGTGCTTTCTCAACCCTCCAAGAGGACTCTGCAGGGGGGCGGGGCTTGGAATGATTCCGTATTGGAGTTAATCAAGGGGAAATGCACACGAGGTGTGAATAGGCGCTGAAGCCGCAGCTGGTGTGAAGGCGGGCATGGCTGGAGGGCGTGAGAGCCCGACGCCAGGTGCCACAGGTTCCCCGCGGTCCTCACCCTCCCCTACCCTCTAACTGGCTTTCCTTCCCGACTTCTACCCCCGCTGCCCAGGGGCCCCGGGCCCTGCACCGGATGCAGAGCGAACCATTTTCCCTAGGCTTTTCTACCAGGTCTCGCTGGGAGTCCAAAGAGAGAATGGCCACGTTCTTTTGTGGGGATCCACAAAGGCCTCAAGGAAGAGGCAGGTGGGAGCTAACGCGGGTCTCTCCCTCCGCGGTCTCCCCCGTGCTCCGCCTTCTCCCCGACTCCCTGGGGGCTGCCCTGGCAGCACTGAGCTCAGGCACCGGGCACCTGTCCCGCCCCCCCCCCCCCCCCCCCCCCCCGGGCCCAGCCCTTGCTCCGGAGCCCGGCCCCTGCAGTGGTGTAAACAGCGGGACAATTTAGGCGCCCTTTCCACGGGCTAGTAGAAACCATCCCGAGTGATTTCGTGATTCCCTGGAACATCCGCCTTTTCCCTGTGTCCAGTTGGCCACCACCACTGCCATGGTCCCTACCTCCCGGTCCCTGCCTCCAGGTCCCTCCACATCCCCACCAGCTAGCCTCTCCCTCCAGCCCGGGAAATCTGCTAGGCAGTCGGTGGTTGGGCGGGAGGTGCTAGGAGCCTCCCTCCTACTTGCTGCCATGTCCTCCATCCATCTGCGGGCTGTTATGCCCTAGTCCCGTCTGTCCAGGCTGGCCTGAACCAGAGAAACTCCAGGCTTCTCTGTTTTCAGCTACCATC